CTTTTCTTCTTCTTCTTCCTACGCTTTACCAGCAAATCAAAATCTCACATACACTGAAAGGTAAAAACAAATATACACTACACAGATGAAAAAACCCATTTGAGACTCTCGTTGAAGGTGACATGGAGCTGAGATCTGAAGAGATCTTCTATTCAGTTTCAATCAAAGACAAACACACGCCTTCCGTGTTGGTTCGATTCGGGGAAAAAGAAATCGGAAGCAAAAATATATGGAGGGTGGTGGCAATCGATCGCAAAGGAGGGAGTAATTCTAGTTCTTGACTAATTTGAAGAAAGGAGAAGGATAACGAAATCATAAAAGAAAGAAATACCTAAGCAACAAAGATTTTTGGTCCGGTGGTCGAGGTTTGTCGAGCAAGGAACGAACACCTACGGGGACCTCACTGGTTCGTAGAGGGAGGACAAAACGAAAGCAGCAAGGGCTGCTGAAGCAGCTCCTGCACTTCTTCTGTCTCGGAAAGAAATGTGAATGTGGGGGAGGGGAGAGAGAGATGGTACGATGGAAGCAGGGCAACATCAACAACAGTTCAGGTGGGTATGGAGTCAGCGAAAGAAGAAGAGAAGGTTCGAGGGGGCTAGGGCTGTAAACGAATTGAACGTTCAACGAACTGTTCATGAACCGTTCGGCGGGAAGTTCGTTTATGTTCGTTTATTTAATAAACGAACGAACATGAACACAAATTCTCGTTCGTTTAGTTAAACGAACGAACATGAACAATGGTCTCGTTCGTTCAATTATGTTCATGAACGTTCGTTTATGTTCTGCGTTTACGTTTGCTCATGTTCGTTCATATAAGTTCCTTTTATCTTCATATATGTTTAATTGTGTTTGATTACATTACTATATTATATATTCATTTATATTCATATATGCTTGTTTATCTTCGTTTGTTTATGTTCGCTTGTTTATGTTCGTTTAGCATGTTCACGAACATAAACGAACGAACATGAACAATGTAATTTGTTAAACGAACGAACATGAACAAGAAAATTCGTTCGTTTAACCGTTCGTGTTCGTTCATTAGTTCGGTTAACTTAAACGAACGAACATGAACAAGCCCCGTTCGTGTTCGTTTGGTTCGTTTACTGCCCTAGAGGGGGCTATTGCCCTCTTGTCTGCTGGAAAATCTCCACCTCCGGTGGGGGTTTCTTTGATAGAAGCTGAACAGGAAAAGAAAGGAACAAGAGCTGAACTGGACAACAAAATTTGGGGGTGTTTTGCTTCTTTGCTCGACAGAAAAAGGAAGAAGGAGTAACAAAGGGTTGTTGCTCCTCTATTTACCAGAAAATAGCAAGAACACCACCTCCAATGGAGGTGTTTTTGGTTGCCTATCGGAGAGAGAGAGATAGAGGCGGAGGAAGCAGGAGAGAGGGAGAGAGTGGCGAGAGAGGGGAGAGAGAGGAGGAGGAGAGAGGAGGAGGAGAGGAGAGAGGAGTGAGAGGGAGAGAGAGGAGAGGAGAGACGGAGAGAGAGAGAGGAGGAGAGACCGTGGGGAGTGAGGATTGAGTAGGGATGAGAGAGAAGAGAAAGGTGGAACCTTTGTAATTAAATAATAAAATAATAGTAAAGGAAAAAAAGGAAAGGAAAAAAAGAAAAGGACAAAAAATAGAAAAGGGCAAATCCGTCATTTGAAGAATATTTAAAGTGCTTTGGACCGAACTCGCAACAAAATGAAAACTTTGGACCTGTGGTGTTAGTTCAAACTTTTTTGGACCAAAGTGACAATTTTAAGCAAACCACATGGACCATTTGTACAGTTTAGTCTTAATTATTTTGTAATGTTATAATATCATATGTTTAGTAATAATTTTACATTTTTATTCAATTATGACAATTTGGAAGTAATTTTTTATTTCTTTGAGGGGTGTCATGTTTATTTGACATTTGTCGAGTATTACACGACTTTGAAAGGTTATTATTTTATTATTATTATTATTATTATTATTATTATATATATATATATATATATATATATTTATGTATCTTTGTTTTTATAATTGTTATAGTAGAAGTCATCAAAAAAAAATATGATTTAAAATATATTATATTTTTATACCATATGCATTTGAAACCTACACAAACCTTCATATTTCAACTAATTAATAATAAATTTTCAAAAGTTTTTAACTTATATATTATTTAAGTATTTAAATTAATCTGATATAATTTATGAGCATTAAATTATTGGTAGTTAAATAGTTTTTTTTACTATAAAAGAGACCAGTCGTTTAAGTAACATACAAATACAAATCACATATAGAAATCACATATACACATATAAAGACGACAAAACTTGAAAATGTTTTGTATTGGTTTGAGTTTGTTGGCTACTTTTTGGAGCTATGTTATAATGTTAAAGTGTTTAATTCATATATATTGTGCTATATATTATTAGAGTAACTTAATAATTTTTGTTATGTATCATAAATTATAAACGGACATACAATCATTATCAACAAGGCAAATGTGAATGTTTGAAACAAATTCCACAGTTAGTTATTCTATTTATAATTATATAGATAACAATAACATATAAATACAAATTATAAAGAGAAGACAAAATTAAAGAGAAAAAACATATACAAAGAAGACAGAATCTAGAGGTTTTTATGTTCGTTTGATTTTTTTGGGTTACGTTTTCGAGCTATGTTACGATGTTAAAATTTTTAATTTATATTTTGTTATATATTAGTAGAGTAACTTAACAACTTCCGTTATGTTTAATAGATTACAAATGACTATACAGTCATTATCAAACATAAAAATATAAAATGAAATAAATGAATTTCACAATTAGATTATACTATATATAAATCGGTTTTGATGTCATTTTGTAAGTCAAACACAAGTTTATTCTATTTCATAATCATTATGTTTTAAGAATTTTAATAATGACATTATTTAATTTAATTTTTTAGAATGGCTTTAACAATAATAGTTAACAATGACATATAATTATAAATTATATAAAATTACTTTCAAAACAGTGGTTAATATTCTAAAGAAGACAAAATTGCAAAAATTATATAAAATTACTTTCAAAACAGTGGTTAATATTTTAAAGAACACAAAATTGCAAAAATTGTCCTTGTGGTATGTATTTTTTTGGGGTTTTAGTTCAAACCACGATTTTTTTGAATTGGTGGTCATTTTAAGCTAGTTTCGTTGCGTTTTTGGTCCCTCAGAAAACTGAAAAGACTAAAATGTCCTTCCGATACATTTTTTATGGTTTTTGCTATTTAATTTAAAGTTTTATTAATAAAAATTATGGGGCCCATCTCTCTCTCTCTCTCTCTCTCTCTCTCTCCTCTCTCTCTCTCTCTCTCGCCAGCCAAAGCAACAATGAACAATGGTTCTTCCTCCTTCAACCACTGCCCAACCACCCATTGCAGCTGTTTTGCTCCACTAGATTCGTGACAGCAGGTGACGGAGATTCGACTAACAAAGAAGCGTCGGTCTCGACGGACCCCTCCCCTTTCTTCACGATCTGGCTCACACAACCACCCCAATCAACCCCATGCCCCCGCTATCACCATGGATCAAAGGCAATAGCCCCGTCAGAAGCTTGCATCCGAGAGAAGACACGCCGGAAAACCTGTTGCCCCTCTCCCTCTCGGCATTTCAGATTCAAAAAACCATTGTCTCCATCCACCACCTGCTGTGTTGCCTAGGATTTGCTCTACCCTCTCCCTCCCTTGTGTTTTCTTCTAATCGGACAACGAAGTAACCGCCAAGAAACCTCTCCATCTCCTTCAGTCGATCTTCGCAGTCCCTTCCCTTTGATTCGTCGAGCACCACCACAGAACCACCATTCTTTCCCCTTTTTGTGTTTGCTACCAATCGATCCAGAAGAGAAAGAAGACGTCGGCGACAGCCATCTATCGGCGCCCCTACATGCGATTTACTCGATCATCACCGGAATCTGGTGGCTGCCTCTTTTCCCTCCTCACGATTGATTTAACATCACCGGGCCACCACCCTTTTTCCTCCTTCGACCGCGTTTTCTTCCCGATCGATTGAAGAAGACGCCCATCCCTCTTTTGTACATTTTGGGTTGGCAAAACGAGTCCCTACATTTGGTTATGCAGCCATCGATGAACAATGTGTATGTTTGTTCATCATATATAGATTGAGGAAGATGAAGAAGTAGGTAGGAGGTTTGGCTTTCTTTGAGGAGCAGAGAGAGAGGAGAGGAGAGGGAGAGAGGAGATAGAGGAGGAGAGAAGCGAGGGAGATGAGAGAGAGAGAGCGAGAGGAGAGGAGAGAGAGAGAGAGTTTATAATTTAATAATAATATTAATTTTAAAAAGTGAAAGAAAAATGAAAACTAAATTCATTAAGGGTATAATAGTCTTTTTAATTTGGACAGGGACTAAAACTGCATGTAAACTAGCTCAAAAGGACCACCAATCCAAAAAAAGTCATGGTTTGGACTAAAACCCAAAGAAAATGCATACCACATTGACCATTTTTGCAATTTTGTCTTTAAAGAATCATTCGATGGAAATTAAAAGGTGGTCAAATAAATAAAATTTAAATTAATTCAGGTTAACACTAGTTAAAAATAACGATAACCAAAAATTATATTTATGATTTATTAATGCATAAATGTCAATGTGTAATATTATTCAAAATAATTATAGTTTTATTTATTAATTTAATATAATAATTATTATTTTATAATTAATATGAATAAAATAATTTTTTTTTCACAAACATATAATTATTAAAATTTAAATTATATAATTTTAACATGTGGGACATTCGCCATTTGTACGTATACCCAAAATGCGATTCACTATAACTATTCGGATGTACTTTGAGTCTTTGAGCGAACTCATTTTCATAGACCCAATTTGAACGTATAATACAACCAAACAAAATGGGTCAAAATTACCATCTGAACAGCTTGAAGGTGATGAAGCTCCCATTGAGGAGCTGGTAAGAGACTCCGATGCGATCAAGGAATGACGTAGCCAAATGTGCAGAGAAACCCGCTTAGATTTGAAAATTAATATCCAAACAGACTCCCAATTAGTCGAAAAAACATCAGTTTTCTGCAACAGGATCTATCACCCAAACCCATCATCAAACTTGTATTCATCCATTAGAGATCGCATCTCTGATGGTGCACCAAAAGAAGCTCTTTTAATTTACACCCAAAATCGTCGAAACCCACTTAATCTGCTGAGTGTACTCCCTTTGGTTTTCAAAGCTTGTGCAATTCTCTCCCTGAATAACTACGGAAAGTCGCTGCATTCCGAATCAATCAAAGCTGGACTGCTGTCTGATGTAGTGGTGGGAACCTCAATGGTGAACATGTATGGTAAATGCTGTAACGTGATCGACGCCCGCAAAGTGTTCGATGAAATGCCTGTGAAGAACGTTGTCACATGGAATGCCATGATAAGTGGATATATGAAGAACAGAGAAACACAACCTGCCTTACAGTTATTTAACAAGATGTCTGACAGGACATCAGTTTCTTGGATCGAAATGATCACAGGGTATGCAAGAACAGGGGATACAATCATGGCAAGGTCTTTCTTCGATCAAGTTCCATTCCCACTGAAAAATGTGATGACTTGGACTGTTATGGTTGATGCGTACGCAAGTAATGGAGACATGAAAGCTGCTGAAGATGTATTCGAGGCCATGCCAGAAAGAAACTTCTTCGTTTGGTCATCAATGGTTTCAGGGTATTTCAAGAAAGGTGATGTGGAATCCGGGGAAACCATCTTCAATCGGATTCCATTCCGGAATCTTGTGAACTGGAATTCGTTGATTTCCGGGTACTCTCAAAACGGTCTTTGTGAGAAAGCTCTAGAAGCATTTGCCAAAATGGAATCCGATGGGTTTGAACCAGATGAAGTCTCGTTTACAAGTGCTTTATCGGCTTGTGCCCAATTGGGGTCATTAAAAACAGGTAAAGATCTTCACGATATGATTATTCAAAAAAGAATCAAAGTTAATATCTTTGTTTTGAATAGTTTAGTCGATATGTATGCAAAATGTGGTGATTTGATGAATGCAAGATTAATATTTGAAGACATGATGGAATCTGAAAGAAACGATTCTTGTTGGAACGCTATGATTTCGGGATTTACAATCCATGGTCATTGTAGAGAAGCTCTTGAGTTTTTTGATAGAATGGAGAAATCTAAAGTGACACCTAATGAAATCACATTTTTATCGGTTTTATCGGCTTGTGCACATGCGGGATTTGTTGAAGAGGGATTGGAGACTTTTGGTAAGATGGGGAAATATGGTTTGGTGGCTAATGTGAAGCATTACGGGTGTTTGGTTGACATTTTGGGCAGGGCGGGCAGGTTGAAAGATGCGTATCGGGTAGTGACCGAGATGCCCGTGAGACCGAATGAGTCGGTTTGGGGGGCTTTGCTTGGTGCATGTCGAGTTCACTCGGATATGGAAATGGCAAACCGGGTGGTTGAGAAAGTGAACGCCGAGTTAACTCAGTGTGGTTATGTGGTTATGTCAAATATGTATGCTGCTTCAGAAAGATGGGAAAAGGCAGAAAGTTTGAGGAATTTGATGTTTCATGAAAGGGTTCAGAAAACAGTCGGGCTTAGTTCAGTTCACTTGAATGATTATGATGGGAACTGGAGCTAGAAAATCATGGGAAGTGAAATAAATCTATAAGTTGATTATAGATATGGCTTCAGGTCGGGTGAGTTATATTTGTGACTTTTGGCCTTGTTAAAGATTTGATTATAGATAGATATGGCTTATTATTTTCTCTAATATTTTTGGTTTTCCATGTCTGTTTCCTTGAGAATATTTCATTATCTATGATTTGTGTTGCATTTAGCGTATGTGCATTGGATTGAGACAATGTGAATAGACAAAAACTGTAACGTTTGTATGATTTGTTTTGAGTTTGCAGGATGGTGCATATGTTGAGTAGCTCTCTGCAGTGCAAGTGTGAAAGGTGATTATATGTGACTACAATCGTGAAAGGTCATAGGGGATCCATTATAGTAAATATTTATGGTTTAGGGTATAACGTAAATGGTAGATTCATTAACATGATTCGTGTGAGTCGTTGGCTGGTAGAAATATGTAATTAATAATAACATTTTAAGATGCATACCTTTATTTTTTATAAAGAATACGATTTCATATTTAAAGAATGTTTTCAAGAAGAGAAATGGTAGAAAGTCAACGCACTTCTTTGAAATCCCGGAATCACCGACCAGTCATGAAGTTGTCATTTGGCAAAGAAAGTCAACGCACCTTCATATATAAATCAGTACATGAAAATGAAAAAAGATTGCACGCAACATTAATTAGTAAAATCCTATTTCACCAATTTCTTGCGCCACCATAGAAACTTGAAAAATCCAATTTCAGGGTTAATTTCTGGCCGTGATCAACAATGTAGTTGTCACCAGAATTCAAATGCAACCCTTTTCTGAAATTCTCCACTTGACTTTTCCTTATATCTTCTTCAATGTCTACCTATATCGTCTTACACAGAAAGTATCTCAGTTTCAGTCCCATGTGATCCTTGTACTTTACTCTCTGTCACCTTTCCGTGCTCATCGATGTGCACATTTTCTGCCTTGCAAACCATCTTCTTCTTTTTCTTGAGAAAACACCACAGTGCCGCCATAACAATCGCCACGAAGAAAACACCAGTACATGAGACAAACACCACCACAATGATTGTGGCGCCCTTACCTGGAGCAGATGGAGGAGGAGGAGGTGGTGGTGGTGGAATTGTATGGGGTGTCGGTGTTAGAATCATATGCGGCAGTGGTACAATGTGCTGTGGTGGTGGGAAATGGATGGTATGTGGAGGCGGTGGAGAAGGTCTACGGATGGTAGGAGGTGGTGATGATACAAAATGAGGTGGAGATGGCGGTGTTGGGGTGGAAGATGGCGGTGGAGGAAAATGTGGGAAGAAATATTGAGTTTGAAGAGAAGCCATTATTATAATATGTAAATTATTAAAGAGATTGGTGAAATTGAATATTGATGTGTTGCAAAGGGTAGTGAGGTGGAGATTTGTAGTACATGAGGAGATACATATATTACTTGCAAGTATCATGAGACTTGGTGCACATTTTAAGCTTTGAATGTATTGCAAAACACTTGTCCAAATTAAGTATCACAAAAATGGACAATATTATAGCTAGCTAGCTAGGTACCATGCAATATGTCTGTCAAAGAGACGTACATCATGCCAGAAGGAAGGACAGGACAACATTTCATCAGCAAAACCCATCGGACATTTGGATGTGTACCTATAAAATGTCATTTGTAGATATCAAGTGCCATGTATGCTATATGCATGCATGATTCGTCCTTTGGGTGTTACTCCTTCATTCATACCCTTCAGACTCTAATTGAATTACACCATTAATATCTTTGATAAAATATGGAAACGATATACTAATAATTTGGCAGATAGCATACATCAATGATACATAATGACATGCAGAACATATATATAGGAAGGACCAAGGACCTGTTCAGTTCTGTTGACATTGTTAATGTTTTTGTCTTTTATTCCCTTGTATTTGTTTTTAGATTTGGAGCTTAATTACTCCTGTTTTCAGAATATAATCTTGCATTTTTTTTAATGGAGATGAATATGCGTTTTGTTGTGAATATTAAGATTAATATTATTTTACAGTCAACGATCGAAAATAATCTTTTTTGTAACTTTTATCTTTATTTCATGGATTTATAACATTTTTGGTTCTTTTGATTAATCCCCAAACCTTTAAACTATCGTTTGGTCGATCAATATGTTAAACCCACTACAAGAAAATGTTGTTTTACTGACAATATCTTTAGGAACGAGTCGTCATTGTATATATGATTTGCAATGAACACATGTTTTCCCTGTAGTGTTTCTAAAAGATTTTGAAATTTTGAACTTTCATGGACGACATGGCGTAGTATAGGCGGGAATTTTTACCTTCCAGTTTCTGTTAACATAAAATTTCCAGATCGAGGAGGTACAGCGACAATGTATCGTAGCTAAAAGATATTGTTGCTAACATTTAACTTAAAATTAATGATTATAAGTTGATTTTTCTATCTACAATTATTTTTTGTTCAAAAAATAGCTCGGCTTTGTTTAGAAGCTACCTAGTGGTTACAACGTAACCTAGATCAAAAAGGGTTTCGATCGTCTCATTATCACAAAAAATAAAATAAATAAATAAATAAATAAAATAAGAAAAGAAAAGAAAATGTTACCAATGTTTGTCTTGTTTCTTCCATTTGAAAAAATGACTTATTAGCGGTTCCGCTTCGCAATAAGCTATTTTTATGCAAACATTTTTTTTAGCTTATAGCGGTGTGGAACCGCTAATAAGCTAATAAGCTTAGCCAAACACCCTCTTAGTACTATGTTCTCAACTTTTGATGTTTAGGTGTCTTCTGAAAACTTTAGAAATTGGTCTGATTGGTTCGATGTTAACTTTAGAAGATGGTTCGATGTTAACTGTTGAATAAGTATTTGTTACTTTCAAATCACCATAATTTTATTATCCTTATCCATTTTATGGGTCCTGCATGTATATATACTAAGAACATTCATAATACATGATTTAACGGAGTGGTTGCATGAGATGAAACGTTCACTTAGCATCCAATGATTTAACCGGACGATAGTGAGTTGCCAAGTTAGCATTTAATGGGAAAACTTTTTAGTTTTATTTTATTAAATATTATTGAATTTTATAATTAAAGTTAAATGTTTTTTAGGAATTAAATGATAAGGTTACTTTTTAGTTTTTTTTTAAAAAAATTTCATTGAATTTTATAAAGTTAAATGTTTTTTTAGGAATTAAATGATAAGGTTGTATGAAAAATTGAATGCTAATATGGTAATTCATTAAACTTTATAGAGTTTAATGCATTTTGGGTGTGTCGTAACCCTACCTGATGACGATGACTAAACTGGAGTAAGACTTTGTAAGCACCTCCCAATAAGCGAACCAAGTCGAAATCATTTAGAGACAGCTAGAAAAAGGGTGCGAAGTTGAATAGTTTTTTGCATAGCAATTCTCCATGTCGAGCCCCCTCACCCATAACCCCACAAATCAGGAATGCCGTTGTGGGTGGTTGGACAACCCATTTTTAATATATTGTGGATGCCATAGTTACATACAAGACAATTGGTCTCTTAAGAATTTGAACATTGTATTGCATAACTTTTTGTGCCTAAGAACTTGAAGTGTCACCTCGTGGTTGATCATGCATCCAGGTGTTGGTGATTTTAGTGTCACCATGTCATTTTATGTAACTGGAACTAACATGTGAGCTAAGGGGCTTCATAATTTGTACTCTAATATATGTACGGGTTGGTGCGGAGTGCACGCATGTATAAGATCGAATTAGAAGCCGGTTCGACGACAAGTCGGGGGTCCGGGGGCAGCGCCCCTAGGTCCGGGGTTTCTAAAGGGGCGGCGCCCCTTTGCCGGGGTCTAGGGCAGCGCCCCTAGCGGGGTCCAAGGGGCAGAGCCCCTGGCTGGGGTCCCGCTAATGAAACCCTAGAATCGTGAAAAATTCAGATTCTCGATGGTGATTATGGTAAAACTAACGAAACTCGTTAGTTTTGGTAACCCTAAATCCTCATTAATCCGGATTACCCTGACTTGCTTCCAAAGCAACTAATGACGGCTCAACCCTTATGAAACCCTATTTTCGGTTATTATATAAACGACTCTTCTTGTTGTGAAGTGACATCCGAAAATTAGCTCTCGTTTTCTTCAAACTCTCACAGAATCTTTCTAGCAAATTGGCTTACGATTTCTGTGCCTAGAATCGTAAGTGTCCACTTGGATTATCCTAGGCTGAATTTTTTGCAACTCAGACATAGGGTAGAAATATCAGTTCGGAAAATGTTCTCACGATCCAAGTTGATATCCAGATCTCCACCACAAACCCTATAATTTTTCCTACACCACAAACCCTATAATTTTTCCTCACACAACATTAATACAAAGTTTTATTTCAATTTTTTACAAATTTGTTTTGAGTTAATTATAGCTTGCGCTGCCATAGAAACTTTTGTAATCCGATTTCAAGACTTCTGACCAGGCAGGTGGTGATGGCCGGAACTAGAGGATGGTTCTCCAGCATCAACCACACCAGCAATATTGCCGGAATTCAAATGCAACCCTTTTCTGAAATTCTCCAACTCACTCTTCCTTATATCTTCTTCAATGTGTATATCATCTTCCACAGAAAGTATCACACTTTCAGTCCCATGTGGTCCTTGTACCATTCTCTCTGCCACATGTCGGTGTTCATCAATATGCACATTTTCAGCCTTGCGAACCACCTTCTTCTTCTTCTTGAGAAAACACCACAATGCCGCCACGAAAAATGCCAAGAAGAAAACACCACCACACGAGACAAACACCACCACAATGATTGTGGTATGGTTCCCCGGAGCAGCTGGAGGTGGTGGTGGTGGAGGGATCATATGTGGAGGCGGTGGAGGGATCTTATGTGGAGGAGGTGGTGGTGGGATGGCATGTGGTGGTGGTGGAGGGATCTTATGTGGAGGAGATGGTGGTGGTGGGATGGCATGTGGTGGTGATGGTGGCACAGCATGTGGTGGTGGTGGGATAGTATGTGGAGGCTGTGGTGAAGGTGTAGGGGTTGCAGGAGGTGGTGGTGATGCAAAATGAGGAGATGACGGTGGAGGAAAATGAGGGAAGTAATATTGAGTTTGATAAGAAGCCATTTTGTAATTCGTAAATTTGAAAAAGAGATGAGTGAAATGGATAATGGATTAATTGAATTGATGTGTAGCAAAGGGTAGAGTGGTTGGTATTTGTAGTAGACGATCGAGGAGATTATTACTTGCAAGTATCAAAAGACTTGGTGCACATTTTAAGCTTCGCTTATTTTGCAAAACACTTCTCCATATTTTAAGGTTTGAATATTTTAAATCTTGGAACAATGACACCCTAAGGGAAACTCTAGTCTTCTATTTCTTTTATATTTAAGTAATTAAACTAAAATGTTGAAAATAATAAAATAGTACAGGGTTAACACGGATCAAGTTGGGTTGGATTGATAAACCCATCACCCTCATCTCCAGTCTTTTACATAAAATAGTGATCTTCAATAGTCCTTAATCTGCCATAGCATCAAGAACACCAGATTCATCCTTCATCACTCCTTTCAATTCCTTCAAAACCCCATATATTTCCCCTGAACTAGAATGCAACTCATCTCCCGAAACAAATAAATGAGTCTCCCCTCCCAATTTAATCCAACTACATCCAGGATGCTTCTTAACCCCCTTCTCTTTCATCTCCCTCCTCACTAAATTCACCTCCTCCCAATTCCCAGAAGCGGCATATATATTCGAAAGCAACACATAAGAAGCCGAACTTTCAGGCTCCAAATTCAACAACTCCTCACTCGCCCTTTTCCCCCTTCTTTTATCCCCATGAATCCTACACGCACCAAGAAACGTAGCCCAAACAACCGCATTCGGTTTAAACTCAAGTTCATCGATTATCTCCTCAGCTTCTTTCAAATAACCCCATCTCCCATAAAGATCAATCAAACAAGAAACATGATCCATACGTGGCTTAATCTTATAAAAACTTGTCATTGTATCAAATACTTCACGCCCTTCTGACACCTTTCCCGCGTGACTACACGCCATGAGCACTTCAAGAAACGTGACATCATCGGGCTTTACGGTTGACTTTCGCATTTGGTCAAACACCTCCAACGCGTTTTCCGCATACCCGTTTTTCGCATACCCACCAATCATCGAGTTCCATGTGATGACATCTTTTTTCGTGACCATTTCTTTGAAAACCTGTGAAGAGCTTGTGATATCTCCGCATTTAGCATACATGTCGACTAATCCACTCCCGGTCAACTCATCCGAGTCAAAACCCGTGTGGAAAACAAGCGAGTGGACCCCGCGTCCATCGGGTAGAGACGCTGACGTGGCACATGCTTTTAGGACACTGACAAATGTCGCTTGATCCGGCATTGAATTGTGTCTTCGCATTTGTTGGTATATCGCGAGCGCCTCGTCACCGGAATCGTTTTGGGCGAATCCGGATATTGCAACGGTCCATAAAACCGTGCTCTTCGGAATTGATAATTCCGAGAAGACAACCATGGAATCTGATTCTGCCCGGGATTTGAAATACATTCCGAGAAGAGATACCGAAAAGAATTCATTTTCAAAACCGTATTTTATCGCTAAATTGTGAATTTGTCTACCGAGATTTAATTTGGAAGGCTCGTTGCATCCGTCTAATATGCTTGCTAATGTAACTTCTGATGGATTCAATCCTTGAAACTGCATGTTCCTAAGAAGGTTTACAGATACCTCGATGTTATTGTGAGCATATCCAGAAATTAAAGCATTTATAGAAGCTACACTTTTCACCGGAATGGAATCGAAAACTTTTTGAGCATCGGAAACAACCCCACACTTGGAATACATATCAAGAAGAGAGCTTCCAGCATAAAGACTGGTTTCCATATTATATTTGACTGATAGGGAATGCAATTGTTTGCCTTTGTTTAAAGATTGAATATTTGCACAAGCACTGAGTATGCTCGCAAAGCAGTATTCATCAGGGGCAAACCCGTCATTTCGCATTCTCTGAAACATGCTGAAAGCCAACTCTTCTTCTTCTTCCTGAACGAATCCAACGATAATTGCATTCCAAGAAACATTATCTCGGTTCTTGATCATGTTAAACTGTTTTATAGCATCGTGTAAAGAGCTAGACTTTGCATACATGTCTACTAATGCATTTCCCACAAATAAGTTCATATGCAACTTGTTCTTGATGACAAGTGAATGAAATTGTTTCCCTATTTCAGGATTTTTTAGAGAAGAAGATGCACTTAGAACGCTGGTGTAAGTGAATTCATCGGGTTGGAAACCAGAATGTCTCATGTTTATGAATAGACTAATCACTTGATCAGAATCTTTATTTTGGGCATAACCTCCAAGCATTGTGTTCCATAAAACAATATTTTTCTCATCTAATGAATCAAAGACACTCCTAGCGGGACCCATTTCTTGACATTTTGCATACATATTGATTAAGGCACTTCCCACATAAACACTGGAAGATAACCCTCGTTTGGTTGCTTGAGCATGAACTTGTGAACCACAGTCAAGATCAAATGTATTTGCAATAGCACTCAAAACACTTCCTAGAGTGGACCTTGTGGGTTTCAGATCAAATCTAGTCATGCTTTGAAAATAATCAATAGCTAAATCGTAATACCCTTCACGGGCATGCCCTGAAATCATGACATTCCATGCTACATCATTTGGATTGGGCATTTTGTCGAACAGATGGCGTGCATCATCAAGATGTCCTGATTCAACACATGTGCTTATGACAGTTACGAATGCTACTTGGTCTGGTATATGGCCCAGTTTCAACATATCGTGGAATAATCTTAGTGCCTTTTCGGGAAAACCAACTTGAACATAACCAGCAATCATCGCTGTCCAAGAAACGGTGTCAGGGCATACAGACCCATCAAATATCTCACATGCATCATGAACAAGGCCACATTTTGAATACATGTCGATAAGTGATCCTTCACAAAAGGAGTCACACATGAACCCTGTTTTGATAACGTGTGCGTGTACTGTTTTTCCCAACACGATGTCCGTCAATCTAGCACAAACCGATAAAACAATTGCATAAGTGAACTGATTTGGATACACCCCGGAAACCTGCATGTAGCAAAATAGTTGTCCGACTTTTTCTAACATTCCGCGCCTCGAGTACATTGATAAAATTGGGTTCCAAGACAATGTATCTTTTCGTTCCAACCTCTCGAAAGCTTTCTGAGCAAAGGCCATGTTGCCGCATTTTGAATGCAAATCGACAATGGCATTGCCAAGTTTCCCTTGTGAATCAAAACCAAGTATCAAACTTTGGGCATGGATGAGTTTAACGGCTCTGGAGGCGTGTTCGAGTCTTTGTGGCAATTCGTCGAACAGCCTGCGGGATTGAATTTGTTTGCAGTTCTGCAGACATATTCTTAGAAGACGGGTGTATGCCTCATCTTCGAGGTTCAAAATGGGTTGGTGGAATCCCCGCCGATCGGTTAACTGTTGCAAATTTGGCACACCGGGGCTGCAAAAAGTTCGTTTCGTTAACTTGATATATGCTCTTTTGTGACGCATCTTCGGGCGAGTTGGACATGACTCGGTAAGGTACTACCGAGTATTTTTACATTGGATTATATACTGGACCCAGCACACGTTATCAAAACCGGGTTCATGTGTGACTCCTTTTGTGTGTTCGACGAGAAGGCTCGCGGTATATGTGGACCAAGACCACGACGGTGCACACCATCCAGGTCAGGGTCAATCATGGTCGTGGTTGGGCGTTGTGTGTTCCATGAAATCACACGGAATTTGCTATTGGTCGATGCTGCAACGGCTAGTTTATTTGTAACGGATTTTTTTTTAACCTTTCAAACATATTAAACTTCTATAAATACCACACTTTCTATTAAACATACTCACATAATTTCTTCTTTCTTTTCTCACACAATCTCACACTTCTTTTGCATTCTTTCAAAACCAATGGCTCGTAAAAGGATGAATTGGTCAGAAAATGAAGAAGAGAACTTACCACGAGCATGGATAGCGGCTTCAGAAGACCCAGTAACGCATCCTAATTTTTGGGTAACAGTTGGAAACGTTTTCCATGATTTAATGTGTTGTCAAAGTCGTAGTCTTGATGAAACATGTTTGAAGTATCGTGATATGAGGGTTAAATGCCTTGAATTCAATGGTATTTATAACTTTGTTATAAACAACGTACACGAAGGCGACCCGTTTGTTGTGGTCATGCACCAATATGAAGACACGAAACACACACCGTTTAAATACGTCAAAGCTTGGCGAAAATTAAAAGAGTGCCCAAAATTTAGTGATTAAAAATAAGGTTTAAAAACTAGTTTAAGTTGTTTGTGGTTGCATTTTTAAGGTTTTTTATTATTTTTTTTATTTTATGTTGTTTGTTTTAAATTAATGTAATCTTATTTCAATGAATAAAGAACTAGTTTAAAAAAATATATGTTTTATTATGTTTTTGAATTAAATTTAATTAAAAAAATATGTGTTATTGTGTGTTAATGTATTTTTGAATTAAATTAAAATAAAATAAATGAGGTGGAGTGACATGTTTAGTGGTAGGTATTCCATGTTAGTGGTAGTGGAATGTGGTGCTGATGTGGCACCCACCACATATGTGGTATGTGGTTGGTATAACGGATGGTCTAAATAAATGAGGCACCAACACAATCAATATTGAACGCTTGTCAAACTATAAAAAAGTGTGATTCATTTGTCAACCTACAATGTTATGGTGATATAAAGTATAAACAAGAGACGCCGACAAACTGCTTAAAATAAAAATGTCGTTATCCTTTGTATGTCATTTTATAAGGATAATAACTTGAAAGGTAACCGGTTATATTTTTTATACATATTTGTCATTTAATTTTTTCCTATATATAAATTTGTCATTTAATTTTTTTTACAGACTGTTAACTATTAAACTTCTTTTCTGTTTAAAACATATCATTATTACCTGTAATAGCGTAATAGCAGGTAAAACCTATATTGTGGGGGTTTAAGTTCCACCTCCGACATTCTTTACCTTTGGCGACATCTCTGGTCATCTTCTCCGGCCACATCAGATATTGAACACACTTGCAAAGGCTTTGGAAGTCGTGGATGCTCTTAACCCTAGAAACTATGTCTTCCAAATCCTCTTATCTATCACAATTACTTCTACAACATCTCCTTCGTCAGACGACCACAATCCTGCCACATCTAAACCTCCATCATCATTTGTAACATCCGGACCTTTGAGGTATGAATTTTAAAGTAATTTATTAGTTTTGGATGGCTACAACGTGGTGGAGTTATCACCACGACGTGGCATGACCTGCATGAGACGCGTATCTCACTTATGCCATCACGACGTATGCATTTAGTGACCACGACGTGATGACGACCGGAGGTTAAACCCGAATTTTTCGGGCTCAAGGCCCTATTTAAAGGATGTGATGGTTAGGGTTTCTTACACTCTCAGTCTCCATCACCTCCTATAGTGTTCTTGAGCAACCCTATCCTCCTTGCAAGTTTTGGAGCTCATTTTGGTGTTTTTGTGGCCTTGGAAAGAAGAAGAAGAAGGATCTCTTGTGCATAGATCAAGCAAGCTACTCAGCCCTACTCCTTGTGTGCATATTATAGACCATTTGTGAGTTCTCAAGTTCTTTTCTTAGTGATGTCATTCTTTTAGATCTAGGTTATTTGGCATGTTTTGGTCCATATTTGAGTTTTGAATGGATGAAAGTGATAAAGTTTGCAACTTTATGGCTTATCTTGGTCCCTTGGTCATTATATCTACTAGATCTAGAATTGGTGTAGTTTTGGTAATCATGTATGAGCTTTAGGTCCCTTTTCTAATACTTTTGACATAGTTTGGGGAAGAACTTGCATGGGGCTTGCATATCCATAAAGTTTAGATTCTATGACCCCTTTGAGCCCCTAGAAGCCTTCTAGAAAGTATGGGCTAAGGACTTAACCGATTAAGAGCTAGAGCAAATAGTTGTTTTCAGCTTATTGCCACGACGTGAAAAATTGGGTGTCACGAGATGGAAAAAATGGAGATCACAACTGTTTTGTTGAGAAGGTCCCACGACGTGGCCAAGGGATGACCACGACATGGAAGTCAACTGACGTTGACTTTTAATCGGGTTTGACTTTTAGGGAAATTGATAGTTTTTGGAGGGTGGATTAAGGGTATACCTTGTATGATTCTGTAAGAGGTATGTAGCACCCGATTTTCAACTGTGTGAGCTTACTAGCTGACTACTTTGTTGTGAGGTGAGTTTTCTCACTATACTATATAAGATGCTAGTTGTCTTTGTGATACTTGCATGGAAGACCAGGGTTTGGCCCTTACTATTTGTATGAAACACCAAGGTTTGACCCCTGACATTGTATGAAAGACCAGGGTTTGGCCCCTAGCATTTGCATAAAAGACCAGGGTTTGGCCCTTATCAATTGTATGGAAGACCAAGATCTAGCCCCTGACACTTGTACAAGTAAATACCATGATTTGGCCCATGGCAGGGTGTAAGACTATGATTTGGCCCATAACACCTTTTTGGGTTGAAATAGACGCATTATGTATAACATGTGGTATTTTGGGGAACTCACTAAACTTTGTGCTTACAGTTTTGTGGTTTAAATATTTCAGGTACTTCGAGTTCCAAGGGGAAGAGTATGGCATGGTTGCATCGCATCCACAGGAGATTTCATATTTATGATTTTTTTTTGCCACTTTGATGTTATTGGAATACTATTGACACTGTCACTGTTTTGAATGTAATGATTGAATGTTTTGGTTGAATTAAGTACAAAAAAAAAATTTACCTTAGATTTTTGGGACGTTACATCATTGAATTGTCGTACGACCAAGGTATGTTGCTCCATCACGAGTCCATTATTGCTGCATCGTCGGACTAGCAGAAAGTCACCGATGCGTCGCCGCTGCAGAACCGTCGTGAGCCGCCGCTGAACCACTAGGTTCGATTTTTCTCCTGTTTTTCCAAAAAACGATTTTACTTTGAAGAGTAATGTATGATTTTGAATTATGATTCTTTTCTGAAGTCTGATACATGATACAAGATTGTACTTTGAAGTGTAATACATGATTTTTGAAGTCTGGAGCTTAGCAACTATTCAAAGGGTGGAGAGGGGATGTGAAGGAGGAGAAAAAGGTGTCGGTGACTAAAGGATGTGAAAGACCTTTATCTTTGAACAAAACCGATTTTGGGCGTCCGCCAAAGCTTACGTTCGTCAGAAATGTTATCGGAGATGGAACTCAAATCCCCAAAACAAGTTTTACGTGCTATTGCACGTAATAGTGGTATATTTTTAACAAAAAAAAGTTTAAGAGATAACTGTAAACCAAAAAAAGTTAAGTGACCAAATATATATGAATCATATAATTAGTTATCCTTTTAAACGTCTATATTATGTGTTGTAACATATAATATAAGAAATCCCACCTTTTTTACTATCCATCTTTCAATTCAAGAGATTAAAGCAAGTCTTAAAATTTAAAAAGTGATGCAAAAAGAAAATGAATAGAGTCCACCTATTATATTCAAGGAAATTAAGAAAAACAAATTAGTAATTTACTCTAACAATTTAAAGAAAATTATTGAATTCATCTTAGGCTAAATTACTCTTTAACTTTTACTTTGTATTATTTTTTCTATTGTGTTTTTTCGTCTCTAACCAATATTAAATTTCTTTTTTATCTTTCATAATTTTATTTGTACCTTTATTTATTATTGGTTTTATATTTTTTAATAAAATAAACTGCAATTCTCTCTCTCTCTCTCTCTCTCTCTCTCTCTCTCTCTCTCTCCAACCGTCTTAATCCACCTTTCTTTTCCTTTCATCCTCCTATTGTCGGAAACTACATCCCTCCAACTATCGTCTTCCTTAAATTTTGCCGTCGATCTAGGTATCCCTTTTCGTTCGGCAAAGAAAACATAAGTCATTTCCATAGTTATAAAATAAAGAAGATGACCAATCATAGTTTACAAGTTTGAAATACTATAAGTGTTTTCGAATAAAATTCAAAAATTAATACTTAATTTTCTTTTTGAATGTTTTGAAAAAACAAATAACAAGCCTATATTTTCTATAAAACATATAACAAATATCTAGAAGTGTTTGTTTAAGATTTTTCAGAAAACGAGCTACTTACCAAGAAAGAAAAATGTCACTTTGAAAATGTTAACAATAATATAATATAATGATTTTCTCCATATATATATATATATATATATATATATATATATATATATATATATATATATAGAAAGGGTGTTTGACGGTAAATAACTTTTAACTTTTGTGTATTTTCTTTGTATCTAAGGTGTTGTTTGTCTTTTTTCAAAAAGAGTCGCGTGACTTCTTTTGTAGGTAATGTTTGTTTTTTTGAAAACTGTAGACCTAAAATGTTTATACATCCTCTTCTTTGTAGCAGATAAGGAATCATTTCTTTTCATTCATATCTTTACATAAAAAAGCAGAATTTCATTTATATCTTTGTAATCTTTAAATATTATTTTTAATTCCCTTGA